TATAGATAATGAGATCAATAATGAATCAATTTATTATTACCTACCGTTGCCACCTAATGTGTTTTTATTTAGTTTACTCAGTTCACTAAAAATATTTTTCAGTTTAGCTTTCGGAAATATAGGCAGGTCAATAGTCACAATTCTATGCCAGGCATTTTGTATTTTTCTTATAGGATAAATTTACTTACCAGTAAATTGTGACCAAATTAGTGCCCTTATTTATACTTACGTATATCAATTTGCATATTTCATCTCTTATTGTGTTCTTTTTATTTCCTGCAATCCGTTTTGCCTGAAATTATTTTCTTGGATAAAATGAATGACGGAAAACTTTGTGCAAAGCTTTAAAGGTGGTACACGTGTAATAATAATCTAAAAATTTGTCTAAGTTAATCCAAGAAGGAAAGAGAAATAAAAAAAAAATGCGTAACCTTAGAAGAATTTTTGCTAAACGATATTGTAATATCGATAGAATTAAACCGTAATATTGGTCAATTGGTTTGTCTATTTAGTCTATGATGCAGATATTGTTGTTGCAGAGTAAAGCAAAAAAAAGGCGAAAAACTACGCAGCATTCAACATAAAAGTGGAAAGTGATACAAGGCCGTTCCGTGTGGTCCCCCTATAGAGGGCTCAAGTACAATTTTTACTTCCCAACTATGTTCATGTACTAGTCCACATTTGTCAAGCAAGAACGATAGTTATTATCAAAGGCATATTATTGTGTTGTTGTTATTGTCGTTATACATGTTCAAGTTGTGGCGGGCTTCATTTAGGTCGACAATTACCAAGCTTCGTAGCGGGTATAGGGAGGCGCGTTTGTTTTGATGAGTACAACCCCGCGTGTAGAATTAACGGTGCTATTTAGAGGAACCGCGAGGCATCGGGAGTTTGACTACATGTGTTTATTTTTACTGGAACTTACTGAAACACTATTTCTTTTATTGTTTATTACACAGTTTAGAGCAGCATTTTGGTGAGTGTCGATATGGGCAGATAAAAATGCAAAAGCTAACTAAACTACCTTTTTTAGAAGGTTTATTAATAACATAGTTTATATGCGTCCATCACTACCAAAGTGTAATTTTTATGTTATGTGGGCTGAGTGTGAGGCTTAGTTATGCCGATTGTACCCATTTGGATCGAGATAAGTACTTACTAATCCTCGGTTTTCCCCGAATCAGCCCATATCCTCATCTTCAGCTAAAAGCAGGGAGCGTCTAGCATCACAAGACTATTAGGTTGAGTTTCCCCTGGTCAGGTTTTTAATTTTTACAAACGAGTTAGCTACCAGCACCTGAGTGTAACCCTTCTGGCCGTGCTCTGAACCTAACAAGATATAGTCTAGCAGACTATATCTTTGTTCAGTTGTAACTTTACGAACCACTTTTTCCTTCAGGGTTCTCTTTGCCAGCACCTTGCCTGTTGCTCAACACTTTCGTGGTCGAGTGATGAAGCATGTAAACTCCCTTATGATGTTTCCTTCAGACAATTTTATTTTTCCTATCATTTGTCCTTTTCTAATATGCGTCAGCACCATATACGTCGCCAGCAAGTTATTTGCTATACTTTTTAGGCTTGCAATGCAAAGTGCAGAGATGTCCAGTAGGACTTTCACGTATTTTATGAAGATGGCTTTGAAACACTCAGTGGCCCGCCAGAATCTGTGTGAGTTAGTAACGCAGCTTCTACGTGAAATTCAGGCATGTCTGTTAGGTATGATGTCTTCTACTGCCGCTTCCGGAGCAAAATTAGGTATTACCTTCCAGTCTGCTTGCCACATCCGTAAGATTTTGTCGTCCGCATCATCCATTGGATCGTGCTGGAGCATATGCCTATCGTTAGCTCTAAAACTAGGACCGTGTTTGTGCTAACCATACTGTGGGCTTGGATAACCCTAACTGCAAGGATTCGCTCGGCATTTCTAGGCAGCTTCTTGACCATGATTTCCATAGGTTCGGGTAATGTCTAAACAGATGCGCCGAAGAGCGCAACCGCCTCTGATACTACTGTCAAAAGCCTCCTCTCCTAAACTAAACAGATAACTTAGTGTTTATTAACAAAACATAATATTTCAAATAGGTTTTCTATGTTTATTTCATAAGTCATATCTGTTAAATACTAGCGAAATGATGCCATGACGGTAACCTAAATTACGGACTGTTAAAATTTAAAGTATATTGTATACTCGACTAAGTAGTGTTTTGTTTTCATTATATACCAATGGGCCTTAAAATTACTTACTGGCCATTAAAATATTGAATCTAGAGCTTCGATTAGATTTATAAGTTGATCAACTTATAGATTCTTCAAGTAATAGTAGTATATGAATATGTATATCAGAAAATGGCCAAGTGGAAGATTTTGAAGAAAAAGACGGAACGGGCTAATTCATCTGCCTCGGATTCGTCAGATTCGGAAGCTGAAGTTCCACTAACGCGTAAATCTGACGAAACGTTTAAAAGAAAGTACAAGTGGACAAACAAACAGGTATGAGCTTGTACTCAATTATGAATTCCTACCATTTTCATTGCCCTGTTATAGTTCATGCTTTCTTTAAAGTTCTGTCGTCTTCATTCGGTAGAACATGGTCTAATTTTCGTAGCCTCAATGCTGAGCTTTTTTAGCCCGACATGCGTTTGTTGATCTATATATCGATGTAATGCCATCTATACGTAAATTTCAGCGTCTTCTCATTTTTGCTTCTCGTGGAATAACTTATCGAGACCGGCATCTGATGAATTCATTTCGGACAATGCTTGCTCACTCAAAGGAGGAATGTAAGTTCGAAAAAAAGGATAGTTTACTAGCCATCAACGAAGTTGCCGAAATGAAAAACTGCAACAAGGTGAGATTGCAACCGGTAGGCCATTCAAGATTTCAGAATCATATATTCTTTATACAGAACTAAAATAATGAGCACCTTTTACAGTGAACGACATTCCATTTTTGCTTATGCTGCTTTTGTTATTAATTGCAGGTGATGTATATGGAAAACAGACGTAGATCTGACACGTATATGTGGCTAGCAAATATGCAAACTGGTCCAACTCTCAAGTTCCTCGTGCAGAATATTCACACAATGGAAGAACTCAAGTTTAGTGGCAACTGCCTTCGTGGGTCTCGGCCCTTTCTATCGTTTGACCCAGCCTTCGACTCCCATCCATGGTCACGTTTAGTCAAGGAAGTTCTTGCTCAGACCTTTGGAACACCGGCCTACCATCCACGCTCTCAGCCCTTTTTCGATCATGTCTTTGTGTTTCGATTACTCGATAAACGTATATGGTTTCGAAACTATCAGGTAACTAACCCGTTTTACAATTCTATTTTAGTCTGGCTCGTTCACGGGCTAGGAATAAGTTCAATGCCGAGGCCGTACACCACATAATGGCGACCAATACGATGACTGGATCTTTAGTGGTCGTGAGCCATCTACACTACCTTGACAATAACTTATATTATCTCTGGTAAAAAAAAAGGGAACTTTTTCAAGGCATACGTAATGACTAGTATGCTTTAATTAACTAGTAGTCAGATTCTCAATAAGACGGCCAACCCACATCTATTGAACACCGTTATAACTTCTACGAGTTGCAATTTGTTTCTGACGAACCAGAACGCATTATTTTTGCTTAAATATTTGACACAGATTGTAGAGGAAGACGGATCATTGGTGGAGATAGGGCCGCGATTCTGTTTGAATCTCGTGAAGATCTTCGATGGTCCCTTCTCAGGTGCAGTAATTTATACGAATCCTCATTATGTAGCCCCCAATAAAATGCGACGCCTAGCACAAAAGGAGAATAAATACATGGAACGTAAAGAACAAAAGGTAAAACTTACCCATAATTTATCACAAAATCACATTAAATATTATCTTTGAGTATTTTTTGATGAAAGATGTCTTAATAAGGAAGATTAACAGGAATATTGATAGAAATATAAATGATGATAATGTAGTTTTTTGTAAAGATTTTAATATGTGTATTATGATAATAGTCGACCAGTTTTAACTAACTCTCTAAAATGCTTTCTTAAATTCCGATAAAGAATGATATTCAGCGAATATCTATCAACTATCTTTATAAATTGTTGTGTAAATCATCCAAAAATGATTCCGAAGCGGTGGGTTAAACGACTTTATTAATGTATGAAGGAAAGCTGCATATAAGGAATAACTGCAATTCTTATGTGGCCGAAACTGCATAGTTCTCAGAAATTATCTGTATGAGTAGCTCTTGTAGTCCCTGCGAATGTTAAAGGTGCATGCGATTGCTTGTGACTCACTTGTAGGCAAAACGCCAATTTATCGAGAACCTTCCGGCGCCGCCGCCGGAGGACCCCTACATGGACGTATTTGAAACGAAACCCCCGGAAGAAGCCGTTGGAATAGAAAAGAACACATTTTACAGATTAGATCTAAATGCTAAGCGCAAGAAAAAAAATAAAAAATCTGAAGAAAAAGAGTCTAAAACAACTTAAGAAGAATAAAAACACCAAGCAGATCCGGAAAGGATAAGGTCTTTGGGAAGGCATAGACGCGGAATCGATGTCAGACAGTTTCATTTTGTAATCTAAGCTACTAAAGTTGATGATAAAAACAAAACCTGTACATAATTGAAAAAATTATATAACTTTAAATAAATAAAATAGTTTCTTGAATTTTTGTGACACGGCGTTTCTTTCAAACCGGACGATCTACTTTGTCGATGTGAGGCATGTGCTCTGAGCTGACAAACGGCAAATGCAGCGCCGGGATTGCATTTCGCACGTCACGACAAAAGCCAAAAAGCATATGCTCTTGTATGGTGTGCGTATCAATTATATTGAAAATCTGTTCGAACCAGCGTTTACGTCATACATAAAGTATTAGATGAAAATAAGGTAAATCAATAATATTAAATTGAGGTTAATGAAAGACTTATCTACTGAGAGACCTAGAGGGGTACCGCGAAATACAGCATTAGAATCGTACCATAAATAAGGGAATAATCAGCATCCGCACAAAAGAGTTGCCTGTGTTTATTAAACGATTTTTTGTTATGTAGTTGCTTTTCCGGTGACAGGATAGATACGGCGTCGGATTCACAATTACGAGGTCTCGGGTGCGATGTTAACAAAAAGCTCTCGGATACTTTAACAAAAATGAAAGCATTAGTTTCAATTCACCGTTCTGTTACTAGCATGAATCTCAGTATAGGCTTTACTTTCTACTGATAGATTTAAAATGGATTTCTGCCGTGTCACAAGCGCATTATAGCCGATTCTACATTGAAAAATTGCAGCCTTTGCAACGTTAGAGCAAAAAGCTCGCATTGCGTAAAGATTAGTGGTAATGCCCTGTGGCACTGGTTATGTAACATTCGAATCAAAATACTTTCGAAGAATAATTGCCTTAGGTTTTCTTTTTACTTGTTTTATTGAAATTGAAAAATTCAACGTAGATGTTTTGTTACAGTATTCCCCGTTGATTCTACCGTTGATGCAGTAGTTCGTTGGTGTATTAAGTGGCCGAAATGGAACATCGAGAAGATTATTTTGACTGAATATGCATTCAACTCGAAATTAGGTCTTTCGACTTTTCGCGCAACTAAACTAAAGCGTTCACATAGTAACCACTCCATTATTTTTTTCACACTACCTGTATTGACAATTAAGGGGTTTAATTCCTCACTAAAGGTCAGCGCGAACCTTGAAACCTGGTCCCTTTGGAGGTTCCTTCAGGCTAGTCAGACCACCGGCAGGTTCACTTGCTTTTCGGCCATTATACGGGCCGATCTTGGGCTTTCGGCCAGCTTTAATTTCATCTATAATGTGGTCCACGTCTTTATTGGTCAAATCCTCATAATAATCATCATTCACCTGTTTCAACCAAAAATATTAAGCGAAATCGTTATTACTTTTGGTAGTCGCTTTTAGTGAGCGAGATTCTGCAGTCGGGTAAACTATGTCTTATTTGATTATATTTTAGTGGATGTGACACTGCATACACACTGTGTTTGAAATGATATGCATACAAGCATGCAACCGAGTACACGTATGATTCTTTCCATAAACAGAAATACAAAAAAAGACGCCAAATCAACCTGAATCATAGGCGCGTTCACGCAGGCTCCCAAACACTCGACGACACTAAGAGTAAATAGACCGTCTTTGGTAGTTTCACCGTTCCTAATGTTAAGTTTTTGCTCGATGTGCGCCTGTATGTCCTCAGCGCCGCGAAGCATGCATGGAGTGGTTGTGCACACCTGTATGTGGTACTTTCCCATCGGATCCCTAGTGAATTGACAATGATGATTCAAAGAGAGACAAATCTAATTAGTAGATGGATCTTATCATTAACGTTCGTATGGTATAATTCAAATTTAAATGCTAGGTATTTGTCTATACTGGATGGTGTAATACTTGATAACTCTTTTAATTTTTTTTAACACTATCAGATCGAAAACTATACCTGTTGAACATTGTGTAAAATGTAGCTACTTCATACACACGCATTCTAGGCATTTTCAAGTAGTCGGCGACGTAGTTCATAGCTGAGATAGGCAACCAACCAAACTGCCGTTGAGCAAGATCCAATAGCGGAATCACTGCAGCGTTAGAGTAACCTATTCAAATTCGACATACTTTTAGGTACACCCAAGGCTCAAATTTTCATAAGGAACTTGCCGTGCTATGCGCACACTGGACACTTTGTGCATTTTGATTAAGCACTTGCATAGCTTCAAGTAAAGGCTCTTGAGAATAACATTTTGATATGGATAATTGCGACGGATGCTGAAATAGGCTGTTTTCTAAACACGTAGACACTTTGCAAATAAACTATTAGTTGAGTAAGTCAAGTGCACTAAATAAGTTGGAGAAGACTAAATCGCGGACAAACGGAGCCTCTTCCGATTTTCGCTAGTATAAAATTGCAGTAGTAAGGGTGATGTTTTATGATACATTATCTTACGCTAAATTTTTAATTTAATTCAAGGAAATTTTTGTTCATTGTAAAAATATATTTCTAGCACTTCAGGGTATTTTTTTTTCAAGTTTTGTCAATACGAGCAGACTAAGAGTGCGAAAATGGAACGAGTGAAGTCGTTCGGTACCATACTTTTATATCTTTTTCTTTAACGCAGACCCCTCAATTCGCTCTTTTAATACTGTTAATTTTTCGTTTAATTTTTTATTTTGTTTTTTTTATTCTGTAAATAAATAGATAAAACAGTGATGACTGGGAGACGATATGTAAATCACTATGCCTAACCTTCCGGGTATATATTAACAATGGCCTGAGCTCGCTTAAGGTTTTCGGGCGTGAATTCAAATTTCATATCAGGATTATTCTTTTTGTCATCTCTGTGCACGAAGAGTTTGTCACTCCGAACAACCAACGAGGTTTGCAGACCCCGAGCGACCGCCGAAGGCGCTGTGTGCCGGACGCACGCAGTACCTCGTAACACTGTTTGAAGCAGCATCTGGAAAAGGACAGAATAGCAAAGACAGAAGATTTATAGGGACTAAATTGGGCTACTGTAGATACTATTTTTTATACATCAGAAAAACTACTAAAAATAACATTTCGTAATGGTACTAAATTTTTTGAACAGCGCAATATACTTGGATGGAGTTGGCCTAACACATAATACCACACAGTTTCTCGTGCCTAGTTTAGGTTTCAACCGCAAAATTCCACATTTAAATAAATTTCCAATCAACTCAGTTAAGGTTTATCCGTAGTAACAATATATATA